GTAAGGTGTTTGATGGATACGAGGGTGGGTATAGGCGTCCGAAGGCGTTGGGTAAGAACCTCGAGGAGTGCCAAAAGAGCGTGCTGGGTCGGTGTACGGGTGTTGTGGCGACGCGTGTGAGTAATGGGGCGCGGCGTATGTGCGTTGAGGAGTGTGGTTGAGGCACTGAGGGACAGCCAATGGTGGCTGAGGAGTTTGATATGGACGATGCGCTCCAGAGAACGGACGTCGTGTGGTGTTGGCTGCTTGTAGAGTATTACAGGCCTGTCCGGGACGGATATCGTAACGCTGCTGGGGTGTACTATTTGGATGCTGGGTGGTGGTGAATGGATGTTGATGGGTATGTGGCGAGTGTAAAACAATCTGTGGCGGCCGAGAAGCAGTTTGAGAAGTAACGCACGCCGGAGCAGTGAGAGGCGGAACAGCAGGTGGTGCTGGTGCAGAGGGCTTGCTTGAGACCGTCGCCGCCGATGGTGAATGAGCGATTGACGACGTAGCTGCCGCCGAGACAGTAGAGTCGTCTGTAGCTTGTTTCTCTACCTCTTCAGCAAGAGCAGCTTTCCATCGCTCCCGACACTTCTTCAGCCGCAGCCTCTTCTTCTGACACTTGCTCAGTACGGATTTAGACGCAGGAGTATCCGACTCTGGAGAGGATAGCTCCAGGGGTGATGTCTTCGGTAGTGTCGAAGAGGAGAATGGGCTAGACTGAAGTGCTTGGTGGACTTGCTTCGCAAACGCATTGTATGAGTTCGTCGCCTGTACCACACACGTAAGTAAGGCTTAAAACCGAGTAATAACTAACAGACTGACCCCATAATCAAAGATTACGCTCTCCTCGTCGTTATTTGACTTAGCCTGTGTAGAGTTGCTGTGAGAAATAGGCAATCATACTGAAGATGCTATGCATACCTCTACCTGAGCCAAAACCCGCTCTGCATCCATATCAGACGCGCCTATGCCCCCAGCAAGTAGGTCATCAGCGCTGGCATCGACCTGAGCACCTTCACTAGCCTCGAGTGGAGCTGCTTCGCCTACTCCAAGCAGAGCAGTTTCGATGAGCTCGAGCAGAACACATGCACCGACCTCGAGGGAATCGTCTTTGCCGAGTTGGACGTGGGCATCCTCGTCAAGCTCGAGCGAAATTTCTTTACCAACTACGAACACAGAACCTTCTCTGACATCGAGTAGACCACCTTCACTGACTTCAACCTGGGGGTGTTCGCTACCTTCGAGCTGAGGAACCGTTTTATTAGTTACGAGGAGATGGCATAAGAAGTTATGGGAGACTTACCACTCTTGCCGTACCCTCCCCTTCCAAAGTGAAGCACTTTACATTCTACGAGATGAATGGGTTAGTTCATCGAGACCCAATAAGACAAAGAGCAACGAACCTTGTCCCCAGCCTCTTTATCGTTGAACATAGATGCCCATTCGTCAAAAGAGACGGGAGACGAAGCTCTCTGCAGACTGTGGTCGACCTCGATGGTAGAATGAACAACGCTAGCCACTGGAATCATGACCTCGAAGCCCTCGAGTAGATTGAACTCTTCAGCGTACTCCTGTGGGACAGATCAGCTATACGTTCAACGAAACGCGAAAGGCACATACCGCGATCTTTGCTTGCTCGTCAGTGCTGCTCACGTCGTTAGCCACTATCCTTGCCTCTGGCTCGGGTGCAGTACAACGATCTTCGAGAACAACCTCGGGTGCTTCTTGTTCTTCATCTCCGGTAACGACGACCTTGCTATCTTCATCCTCGTGCTTGGCGAGCTCGGCAGTCGAAGCCTATTATGGATGATCAGTAACGGACTCGGATCAAAGGGACTAGAACGTACTTGGGTCGTCATCTGCTCGTCGGCTTCATTCGTCTCCGCCTTCATCCTGTCCTCTGGCTCGTTCAATATAGGATGGTCTTGCTGGACGGATTCAACCGCGACTTCGAGCACTAGTCCTTCAGCGGGTGTGGGGGAAAGCTCTTCAACCTTGACTAGTTCTTTGGTTTTGGTGACAGCACGAGCGGTGGATTCTAGAACAACAGAGATGGCGCACGTCTTAGCTTTTTCTTCATTCATAACATCAGCAGCAGCAGCAGCAATGTCCTCCATAGCAGCAGAGGCGCAGGTGGTCTTCTCTTCCTCCTTCAATGTAACAGCAGCGAAGACTTGTTCCATGAATCCCGCAATGACAGCAACATTTCGTTCTTCAACCCCCAAAACAGCAATCTCGGACTTCTTGATACCAGCAACACGAACAAAAACATCGTCTTCATCTTGAGCAGAGACTTCTTCAATACCAGCGACAAGAGTCTCTTCATCTTCAACCATATCCAGGGACTTGATTTCCTCCTTTATAGCAACGATATTCTCATCTTCTTGTTCAAGCGCGCCAGCGGCCTGTCCATTCTTGTTCTTGTTCTTGACAACTACGTCCTGTTCTGTATCAACAGCAACCACACGCTCTCTAAAAACCACGCGCAAAACAAGAAAAGCAAGAGTCCCGAACGCGCCGAGAAGGGAACCGGTCAGCAGCCCGAGGATGTGTCTCCACGCGGCGGTTGACGTGTAAGTGGGTGCTTTAACAGCTACCTCGAATGATAACGCCGATGGAGAAGATACTTGGATAGAGGAAGAGTAGGATGCGGGTGTATATGCGTGGATAGATGGGGTGTAAACCGGAAGGGTCGGTCCTGGTGAAAGTGTGCTGTTCGAGTTGGTTATAGGGACGGAGGGCAGTGTTGGGAGGACGGTAGAGGTATGTACGTAGTCTAGGTTGAGGCATGTATTCGAGGATAAGATGCTCTTCGTTAGGATTGAAGATAGACCAGGCTTGAGATTGATCGAAGAGGATACGGGTTCTTCTGTAACTGAAAGGCCTGATGGGGACAAGGCTGGAACTTCGACTTTGTCCTTGTCGTTGTTGCTCAAACGGTTTGCGGTGGAAGGAAGATTAGAGGACTCAAAGAGACGAACTGTCCTGAGAATCCAGCATCTGATGAACCTAAACGTGGGCATTAAGAGGGACGAGAGGACCATGAAAAAGATCACCCAGTGGAAGTAGGCCACGACAAGGTCCTTGTTAAGAGGCATGCCAGCTTCCGAGTTCGGGTCGTCGTCGGGATCGTCGGGATCACCACCTTCGTCTTCCTCGTCGACTTTCCTTCCGCCCAGCTTCACGATCGGCACCCAGGAAGGACGTCCGTAACCGTAATCATCGTTACTGTTACCACCACGTCGACCGCCGTTCCCTCCGGGAGGCGGCTGACTGTTCTTCACAGGAGGCCAGGTCGCTGAAGGGGTGGGATAGGCCCTGAAAGGAATTAGAAGGATTGGCTTGGGCGTAGAGGTGGCGTCGGTGTCGTTGATGAAGGTGGCTGGCAAGTCACGGTCGGATTTGAGGGAGGAGGCTGATGCATCTGAAAGTTGATCCATCCCATAGCTGGCGAACGTCACCAAAGTACGGGCTTCAGCCTTTTGGGTCGAGGAAGCGAGGTAGGCGGAGAAGGATCCTGCGGTGATCTTGACATTACGAACACGGGCATTAGAACTCTTGACGGGGGCATAACCAAAGTCGGCGTTTTGAGCGCGGAGGTGTCCGTTCTTCTGAGCCTGCCCAAGAAGTGGGAAGAGGGGTTGGAGGTGATATTCGAGGGTGGGATAAAGAAGTGAAAAGACGATTGAGACTAGGAGACTACCAAGCTGGAAGACCCGGGGTGAGGACTTGAGGGTGAGGGCAGCGAACATTGTTGGTGGCGGTAGTAGGAGGTAAAGACAATGGCGTAAAGAAGAGGTGGTGATGGTGAAACGAGAGGTAGTTCTGGCGAGAATGTGGTGATCGAGGGAGGTGCTCGAGGAGAAGTGAGGATGGTGGTAGTTGGGGAAGTAGACGAGCCTGGCGATCGGTGAAGCTGGAATGGGACGTGCCAAGGGAAGTTTCCGCCTCTAACCTAAAAATGCACTGCCACCCAGCTCACTATCTAGTTCGTACCTGGACTGGCGTCGTGGCGCGCGTTCTTATGCTTGGACTAGGGTCGTCGGCTAACCTCAATTTGATTTTCACGACTACGTCACAATCACCCCCACAGTCCCTCCCGCTTTACGTGTACTCTATCCTAATGGCACGAATAGAAACGAAAGCCGAGACGCGAGACAAAACTAAGACAACCTTAAATTCCAGAGTAAAATCGTCCAATCCGCGTCGAAGACTCTAAAGCCTACGACATTGTCGACGAGCGAATCTGTAATTTAAAAAATAGCCCAAAGTTACTGATCGGAAATCTACATGGAGGAAGGCAGAGATACTTCTGGGACAAAGGTACACGTTTCTACTCATTTTCCTGCGTCTGGACTCTGGAACCCGGGTATTCGATTTAGCTGACACCCTCCACGAAGATCACAACAAGCAAAGCCGAAGATTAATACCGGCTCAGGTAGAAGATCTCGCAAGCATTCCGTGTACCAAGAAAGAGTGCGGAAGATGATGATTGTGACGACGAATCAATCTGGAGAATATCGAGAATTCCGCTTGGGATTGCGGTACGCATTAGCCTTTCGGACATTTACTATAGATCTAACTACATCACTGGATGAGAACAGAGCAAGAAAAATGAAGTGAAAGACAACTACAAGCTCAAATATAATATCTCGACGTAGTTCCGTGCACCAAGAAAGAGTTCGTTTTCTCTTCGTTTTTTAAAATATTTCTGTCTCTTTTTGACATAATCTCTCACCCGTAGGACTAAAGGATGCTTTGCGCAAGTCTCATGTCACATACGCCTGCCAAGAGCGTAGTGTTGAGTGCATGGCGTGGCGGAAGCATAGTGAACCGGAAGGATTTGACAAGCAGTAACCATATTTGCCCTCATTTCATGCTCAACCAACTAATAATATGTCTGATATAGTACCTCAGCGACTCAGTTCTGCGTAAACGCATGAGACGAGCATACGTGGCCGGGGCATTTTGTATGCGTATGGTTATTTTCAAGTTGTGACACAAAGTTATGTGGGCTTTTGGCAGTGGTAGCGCGCACGCTTCACATTTTCTCGAGAAGCAATGTATGCGTGAGGTCGTAGGTTCAATCCCAGTGTCCAGTTCAGCATTGGAAGATGCTTTTTAACCGCTCGATCGAAAGCCTAGCAGGATGATCAAGGAATAGGCCAAGAATAAAGTATGTCTTAGAAAGCCACGAATTAATGCAAGATTCACTGCACCATTACGCTTGTAGCAACCTTGCGAGGACTGCGGAAACGTGTACGCATTCAATCATCCAAATTAACTAGTACGAGTTCCAAGATGATATATATCAGATACATTCAGATCAGAATACCATGATCAAAATACCACGAGCTAAAGAAAAGACAAAAGAAACCACGCGGACGCTATCACACGTAAGCGGGAAGACTGCGAGAACTAAATAAAAAAAATAGAAACACCGAAATGGGCAAGCCATCATTTACGCTACACGAACAGAGAAAGAACCTCGTCACCTTATAACGAAATATAAGGAAGAAATCGTAAATTGAATTATTGTTCTCTTGTAATATTAATAAACTTCATTCTCAATACATCGACGCCAAAGGGTATATAACCTATTTCTCCACCTATAAATTGAGATTTACAGGTGTGCAGCCTAGAGCAACGACACCATCTATGGGATGCAAGTTAATCACCTATTAAGAAGAGCTAAAATAAAGCAACGCACTGAATGAATTGTTCGAGCAGCAAACCGACTGGGCTGAGCTAAAGACGAACACCACAGGATCAATGCTCATATAAATGATGGTGATATACAGTCAACGAACCATGAGTTCCCACCAGCACCAATTACGGTGATGGGTGAGCAGGTGACACCAACGAGGGCATTTACGTCGTCAACAACGATACCCAAAAGCCCGAGAAGCTTTGACACAGAGGCGCTGCTAGCCTTCTCTACGCTGTTGCCTAAGATAATATAGATGAGCAACCATTAAATATGGCTAAGATCCACGAGCGGACTAACAGCACTGAACGGGTCCAGTCGTGCATTGACTGGCAGGGAGGGTGGCGACCGCAAGGGAAGAGATGCTGATGGTAGCGAGAAGAGGGTTGAGTCGCATGATATGAGTTGAAGTAAATAGTGTCGTTTGGACTGAAGAATCAGCAACATAACTACTGGATTTTATACCTTTTCCATCTATTCATGAGTTACATTTAGGGTAATATTGCCACGATTTCGTCGTTACAAGGATCGCGTTCGACGACATGTCGAAGTGGGGTAGTCGTTACACCGAAGAAGAGTGGAGCTCAGATTCGGAACCGTGTCGTAAAGAAATATATATCTTCGCGAAGAACTTGCATTGTTTTCATTCCCCGGATGTGGGGATGTATTTTGATAGCAATGAGTAACGCCGAGAAGGTCAATTTGTAAATCCTTATTCAACGAAAAGCGCTTCGGGATAACGTGGCCGTTCAAAATGAATATAATAAGAACTTTTGATCCCGGAGCCTTTCCCTGATTCTTCACGGGCTTTAAAATACAGCATGCGCACACACCTACACATGTTCCGATAGAAGTCGTCGAGTGAGATATCTTGCCAGATCCAGAGAAGGAACTATTGACAGTTGGACGAAACCAGAATGTGACCATCGGGTTTAGGATATATGTTTTCGGGCAGGACAATAAACCATCAATCAATCAAACCTCGCGAATACTGTATAGGCACGTGTCCCAGGGTGCGGGAGAAAGAGAACGACACCATGGCTTCAGTCCACAGACATGCGATTCGGGAGTCGGAACTGAATCCCGTGGTTCCCCTACCTCGCTAAATCATTTTCAGTGAAATCTGGCCTAAAGTACTATTTGGTTTGACAAGAGAAAATATTGCCTTATGCCTATTAATCTGTCGAACCAGGTCGCGAATCTCAAGATGAGTGTGGGATGGTGGTTTATTTCCGGTTATACGTGACACTTAAGGCGTTTTGTGACAACGCCGCCGCACTCATCTCTCCGATCAAATGCCTCCAAAAACCCAAGCTAAAATTACACTCACTGCTGAAATGCCTTGCTACCTCATGGTTTGTCTTATGAAAACAATCCAAAAAAATCTGAGCAATAATTCTCCCACTGAGCGCTCCAATGAAGCGTGGCGGATAATCGAATCAATACTCGTTCGCCGAAGTCCAGGGTATAGAACTCTACCCGGCATTTCATCGAGAGAGCATATGATACCGAGACCTTAAAATAATTAGAAGCCTTCTTTGGTAGACCTTGCAACAACGCCGAATACATATTCTCGTTCAGCACAGTGTTCTTGACCCTGCTTAGGCACTGTCAAGGCCACAATGGGTTTAGGCTCGTTACTACCTAATATTTGGTGTGCTTCGAACTACACAGTAAGTACTTCGGAGCTCATTAAATATTTAAAATGCGTGTATCCAATGTCAGGCTCGGAAAAAGGAAAATAGCGCCTATTTAATGATGCCGTTTTTTTTTAGTAACTTAATCACTGAGGTCATCCGCAGTATATGGTTTGAACTCTTCCCTGCGGCACCGAAAATATAACACCCTCTACGCGAACCTACAATTCACTATTTCTAAGACTTACGGTATCATCCTGTCATATGTTCAAACCACGTTGCTTGAACACCGGAGGCACTGCTTTCATGAGTAATGTACATAAGGGAGCTACACGCTGTCAGCGCTTTGATCGTGATTGGCATCTCTTTTTATCGATCGAGGCCTTAAAGCTCGACATGTATCTTTCCGGAGTTGTATATTCATCCTCGGGGTAAAACATTCGGTGATCGTGCCCACATGGTCTTCCAAATGAGCTAGCCCGTACGTCACTTATTTTGCCTCCTTGAGTACTTGTCAGTCCCATCCTTCACATTCAATAGCCTCTTTAATTGAAATCGCCCTTTTTCCGATCTTGTCGTGTACGATACAGCTCCACTTAATTACTTGTTACTCCACAACATGCTGATGATACGGTCCAACCGTGCCAGTAACAATAACAAGTTTCTTCTTGGTACTCAGATTCGTGAAGAGCATGGTCATAGTATTCCACGAAATGCCACACGAGGATTCAAGAAATCGGAGATTCAGTTGGAGCCTGTCGAGACTATAACCCATCCCTGTACACATGATTTTTATCTACTATGTCAACGCTAGGACAATCTCTTCTCGAATATAATGGCACTAGGCTAATAGTACTAATCGCCTGATGAGATGAAGTAACGCATGTATACTTATGTTCAAAATTCAGAGAATTACTTTACGCCAATCCTAAATATATCCTGCTACAACCGGCCGAGTTCCTGCGCTATGAAGTAGATATTCTTCCGCTAAGGCGTTGTAAAAAGGTACCTGTTCTCCGAAATTCCAACTAGAATATTTATAGCTATTGATTGATGTTGCGCTAGACAAACATGCATAGCTCACGCCAGCTATTCAGATCGCTGTAATCGTAGCTGCATTACTTATACTGATTCCTTCGAAACTCCTAGATGGTATCGCTTTCAGCCTTCAATCAAAATACTTTGAATTAACGGAATTGATACATTAATACGGTTCTCTATCGCCAAGCCTAATTGACTTGAGTGGATCTTTCCATTGCTTGACCCCTTGAATTGAATTTGTCTTCGGCCGGTCAGTCCAGCTCACTATCACATCCTCAGTCCAACTTCGCTGCTCTCTTCTCAGAGCGTTTCTCGCTGCTCACACGCTCAACGGTTTCTATTCATCAATCAAAGTTAAACGCCACAAAGAGTTCATGGAAAAAATAATCCATCTGGGAACAATGGCATGACCAAGGTCTAGACTTGCGGACCTGTTGCCTTTACGTTTGCATACATACATCATGCAGGTACATTTGCTGAAATTTTTGGGGCTGGTCAGCTGCGCGTTGCTCGGCTATCTTCGTTCCCACTCAAAAAAGAGCTTTTACAGTCGATGTCCCCTCGGAGGTTTCGTGGAACTTCAACCGCACCTCATGAAAATCAGACCTCCTTGCATCTTTCTAAACATAGACTTTTGAAATCGTGCAATATATGACGTCTTCTGAAGGGAGGGCTCGCTGTGCATTAGGTCCACTACGGTGACTTACCCCCGCCATTCATCTGATCGCCTGTGGTCAATTAATCCACTCGAGTTGGGGCAGTGCACATAAGTGCTACGTTTTTATCCAACGCCGTCTGAAATTTGTCTGCAAGTTGATGTTACATCCCGGATTCAATTAGTATTTTTGTCAGGTGAGTATTGAGACGTCTGTGTCTTGGTTGGAGATACGGCCTCATGTTGACGGCCGAGACGAATTCTTAAAGTTACCCGGTTTAGGGTGATATGCCTCAGTGACGCAATGTTCTGAGTACTTAATCCTCCAACTTTAATCCATTTCTATCATCCAACTTGCACACACCTAAAGCATGCTAATGCGAGTCTTCTCAAGATTAATTTCCGTCTGTTCTTCTCTCCCCATTTGTCGTTATCGTATTGATAACTTCAACCATACCGCCTTTTCGAAATATTTTGGGCTCCACTTGATAAATTTTCTTTGATGTCGTCGCGGACTCTGTGACTATGAAAAGCGTTCATTTCAAGGAATAAACATTCAAGGGTATGCTCTCAAACATTTAAAAGTTTGTCATTACCCCATCATTCACCTGTCGAACACCAGCACTCGTTGCACCACCCCGCAAGCGGCAAGCCAGTGCACTTATTCTAGTGGAGCATTTGAATGTACTAACTTCGTAATAGGCAATAGCATTGATACCGCCCTCTGTTTCCAGCTTCTCGAACTCCTAGGAATCGCTATTCAAGACGTGAACACTCTCGTCTGTGTGGCTTGCACCCCCATTACTGTCATTGGTGCCCGGGTAGAAACTCTTAGTTACATATTATTTAGAGTTTAATGCTTCTTTCGTATCCAGAGTACTTACTTGCCGTTCAGCATGATGCACATTCCCTATTCCTCTTGTAAAAACACTCTATTTTATGAGGAGATTATATCTACAAGAGCGATTTCAAAATATTAAAAACTAAGAGACTTATTATTATTGAGATCTGAGATTTGGTGGACGCACGGACTACTGCCTCAATTTAGTAATTGAAATA